CCCCCCGCCCCCCCTCCCCGCCGGTGAACCGCAGCCTCCCGTACTCACCCTCCGCTCATGACCGGTGCCAGGCGCGGGGAAAGCCGAGTCCCGGGCAAGGCTGCTTGCAGGGCGGCGGGTCGCTCCGGCCGCTGGTCCCCCACTGCAGAGCGCGCGCGCGCACGCCCCGGGAGCTCGGCGTTACGAGCGCTCCAGGCTGTCCTCGCCCGGCGGGAGATGGAGGGAGGCGGTGCAATCTCCCCAGCAGCCGCCCCGCGCCGCCAGGCAATCGCACACACCTTGGCTCGCGGTTATCCTCGGCTGGGCACGCGGGAGGGAGAAGGGGCCAGCCTGCCCCCGGCTCCTTAAAGGGACAGGCGCTGCTCGTCGCCGGGGCGGAGCGGGAACAGGCTCGGCCAAGGCGCAGGGAGAGGCGTCCGCCTATTGGTTGCTCCCGCTGGAGCCCCTCTCTCGGTGGCGAAGTTGGTACGCTCCGAATTTTGATACAAGCGCAAGGGCAGCGGTTGGTTACGGCTCGACCCGGGATGGGGGGGATGCGAAGCGGAGTGGCCAATGAGGGCGCGCGCAGCGTGGCTCAACAGACTGCAGCAGGGCCAAGGCGCAATACCCTTAAAGGAGCAACGACCGTAACGGGGACGGGCGGCTCAGGTGTCTGGAAACGGCCCAAGGACTGCGCGGAAAGGGACCGCGCGCGGAGACACGGCGAGAGCAACACACGCCCTGCCGGCCACGTCACAAGCTACGTGAGAAGGGAGCAACCGTGACCTCCCTCTGTACCCTCGTTTGCAAAACAGCAGCATCCCGAAAAGAAAAGCGGGGGGGGGAGGAGATTCCAAGAGGCGCCTGCAGGCTGGGAGCGACTTTGCTCAGGAGAGCCGTTGGGCACTTCGCATGGCGCGCAGCTGCGTCGGCTGTATTTTTCCGCCAGCTGGAGTTTACGGAGGACTGCCCGATACTGCGTAAAGCAGCGCGCTGGAAAGCCCAAGCCCGCGAAGTTCGAAACATCCCGAATATCCGTGTTCGGAAACAGAAACCGCCGAGACCCTCGTCGGGGCGCCTTGAAACGCGCGCTGCACTCTTACGCCTCTTGAATCCAGAGCTCAGCTGCTTGCGGTCCTTCGGCTCAGGTAAACAGAGGTTTAGGTTTGCAGCGTTGTTCCAGCGCAAACTTCAGAGAAGTTCCCTCAAGCTCCCGGCGCACCGTCGCTGCTCTTCACAACACACTCGGTACCGTAATCGTTAAGATTCCGCAACGAAGTCGCTTTGGCGGCGACAAACCAACGCGAAGCATGAAAAGACGCAGCCGACTCTCGTGCATTAATAGAGCAATTGCTTTCGCGGCGCTCCCCGTGCGCACGCGAGGAAAAAAAGGTAGACGGCGGCTGCTCTCAAGGAAGCACGGAAGCGTTATGGCCTGAAAAAGCCGTTTCTATGGGAGCCTGGGCTGCCGGAGAAACAAACCTAGACCGTTTGTTCTCGGAAGAAACCTGGGAATTGCAGTTTTGCGTCGTTCAGCAACCCAGATGGGGTATTCCAATTCAAAGGCGCGTTAGATGCACCTTTGCAGGGCTAGATAAGTAGATAATCCGGTAAAGGTCATATAACACTTGGGCTTGTTTTCCAAGGCCACATCTAAAGGTATGTTTTACGCCTGATCCATAAGGCCCGTGGAAAATGAAGTCATAGGAATACCTTCTGCGAAGGATGATATCTTCTAGCTTGGTGATGATATGCCAGCAAAACAGAAAAATTTAAACTGCCAATGTACTGGGCTGAATAGTGCTATGAAATTAGCTGTCCTCAGGGGGGTGGCCAAATGCTACTAAAAAGCATGGAACAGTCTGTAATAGCTGGGATCTCCCTCAAGTAATTGGAATTTAACACCCAATTTATGAAGATAAGGCTATCCAGTTTCAGCCAGCCGAGAAATAGCTTAGATGACTAAGCTGCTAAACCAGAAAGGAAGTTTTCTTAAGTAAAATTTAATGCCCTTGGAACCTGGTGTACAGTGGTTTCCTTGTTTTTGCTTTTTAAAAAAATCTGTGTTTCTACTATGTTTTTTTGTAAATAAAATATGAGCACATAATTCTCCAGTGCTCTTTTATTCAAAGAAAACTAAACTTTTCTTGCTGTTTGGAAGCATGTAACACAAGAAAAATGCATATTCCAAGCCTATGGGATATTCCTAAGTGGGATTCTGTCATGGGGCACGCAACTGATTTTTCAAATGCTTTCATTAATTAAGCGATGAAAGCTGTCAAGAGAAGTGTTATAAAAGGTTAAGAGTTCTGAAAGAACTATCCGTTACAAAAGGACTGCTACACAGCTAACCTAATATAGAAAGAATGAAAAGAGCACACATGTTTATTTACCCAGGCTAATAATTGTTCCCCCCCCCCCCACTTCAGAAGGTAGAGTGGGAGATCTAATATGAAATCCTTTCTGAATAAGCTTTCTTTTCCTTACTTGCAAAAATTATGGTCAATCTGCATTCATTTTTCTGTCCAGAGCAGACTGGTGAGCAGAATTTGGGAATTTAGCAATTGTGATGTGTGATTTATTCTTGGCTGCTCTGTATTTTCATTTTTGTATCATTGTAATTGTTTTGAATTTTTAAAATTTTGTTTGCCACCCGGAGTCACTTGGTGAGATAGGCAGCAATACATAAATAAAATCTTTTGGCGGTTTGGAGGTGGAAGGCTTTGAAGGGCAAAATGAATGCTAAGGTTCACAGAACCCTAAGACATCCATTATACCACTTGAAACACCTGAAATAGGTCCTAGTTCTCATTTTTGGAATACGGCACTCCTGATGCAGTCATTAAGCAGACAGTAGTTGTACATGCCTGTCTGTCATGCAACAAAATTAAAATCTATTAACTAAGGAAAGCAGGGGCATTTGGAGAACATTAACAACATTAATTGTTGTTAAGTGTTGTTAAGAAGAATGTCTGAAAATACACCCTCCCCTTTGGAATGAAACATAATATCACTGCCCTCTTTATTCTCATCTTTTATAGCTAGTCTACAATTGCAGCATCAAAGCCAGTGGGAAAACATGTCATATTACTTACAATATTGCTTGTAGAGTGGCTTAATATGTGAATTACACCGATTGCGAAAGAGCTGCCACAACATTACCAGATGGTGCAGTTGGCTGAAGCAATACGCACATTCTCCATAACAGTCCCAGCAAGCTATTCTATATATTCTGGCCGTTACAAGGAGCAGAAGATTCTACCAGGTTACATTTCACCACAGTTGTGATACCTAAATGAATTCTGCAATACGATCATGGTTCTAAATTAGTTTAATTCATATTACTCCATTTTGAATAATTTGTGACCAGACTGCTGCACAATTGTGTAATTAATCCCAGGATTATGGGTGTTAACTTGTTAACGCCCACATTCTTGACCACTTGCTGTGAAATGCCAGATTTAAAAGACATGCTGGAGGAGAAGATGGAGATTGTGTATTGGAAGAGGGAGGAGAAAAAGACCAAGTAAATGATGTTTTCACAGCCAGGAAAACACACATTAGCCTTACTGATTGAAGATCCAGGCTCTCTTGTATTGCTACTGTGATGGAGCAAGGACTCTTGTGGTCCTCCTCCTCATCTATTTCTCATCACCATAAAATGCTAATAAAGACCAAAGCAATTTCCTCTAGTGGAATAAGGAACACAGTAAATTTGATCCTGCATCTGATAGTTAAACTCAGATCAGTCTCACTCTTCAACCAAGATTTTTAGAGAAGTTTTTGGTTTAATCCTCTGAAAGGGTTATCTGTGCCATTATTTTTGATAGCTTTCCATAAATACATTCAAATTCCATAGTAGCAGAAGATGGACCCAACTATTACTGCAAAGCATGGCTTTTATCTTCTCCTCACATTCTGGTTTCACAGAACAAAATCCAGCATCTTTTATTCCAGTGTGCCAGAGGAGCTCATATCGTTTTGCATCCATACTAAAGATCCCCAGTGGCTCTGACTGCAAGTAGAACCCTAAAATCGGATCACATAAAGTCATAATGTGATTTGTTAGGTTTCTGGCCCTTTATATTCTGTGGATCCAGCCACTGTGATTGTTCAGTGTTAAGCAAATCACGTCTTAACCAATGATTGAGTTCATACAACATACGAATCCATAACCCTAATTTTAAAAGTGCACAATTGTCCATGTTCGCATGCCATCCCTCCCCAAATAAATTATATGATGATTTAATAGGGTGGCCTGATTCACACAGTATGCTAAATTATAAATTACCCAACTGCATGGTACTCTGATCCCAAATGTGGTGTGAGCCTAGCCAGTGAGCAATACATCACTAAAGTAGCATTCTCTAACCCATTTTCTGAAATTGCTACAAGTCGCATTTTCTGAAGGGGCTACAAGTCGCAGAATTCTGTGCAACCATGGGCAAAGTCTAGATTAAAGAATAAGAACAGGACTGAGAAATACCTTCACCCATTTGTTGACTTACTTTAAACCATCCCTAAATTTCAGCGTGACCTATTTCTTGGGATTATGTGAGGATATGCCACAGGGGGGTATCATGTATGGCATCACTTTGGGGGTGAAGTAGAACACACATATAAAGCTGAAGAAAGTCACAGGGAAGCCCAAACTGAAGATATGATTGAGGATTAGATCTTTCCCCATCATGGGTTTAGACCCATGCTCCACTGCCATGAGCATTAAGATCTTCTAAATTGGAACTGAAAAATGCATTAATGTTCCATAACAGACCAGGATAATCTCTACACAATTTGTTGTTACATGAACTTCTGCAATCTACCCTTATTGTTTTATTTCCTTTTACCATTACCTACTCTGTTTCTCAAAATTAGCAGATGCATTTGCACAAATGAGTCAGTTGGTGCTCTTGTTCAGCTCCAATCAGACTCAAGATTGAGAACTCTTCAACAGGCTAATAAATGCATTGGGTTTTTTAGATTTCTTTTATCCCACCTTATTTTTTAGAAATAAGGCAGTGAACATACTTAATACGCCTTCCTTCTCCTATTTGCACCACAGCAACAACCTGTGAGGTGAGCTGGGCTGAGAGAGAGGGACTGGCCTTCATGCCTAAGGCAGGCCTACAACTCACCGTCTCCTGCTTTCTAGCCTGGTGCCTTCACTGCTACACCAAACTGGGTTTCTGATTTTAGATTTTTCTTATGAATCAACATAGCTGTCCTTGGGCTCCCTGCCTGGTCCAGCCTTCTCTTGCTCATGAACACCACAGCAATATACAGTATATTC